CTGGAAATGAGGCATTCCATCTTAGTCCTTACGGGTGACAAAGCATCTGCATTTTGATTTGTAATAGAGGATCATCATCATCATCATCATTACAGCCCTTCACAAGTCCACTGCTGAACATAGGCCTCCCCTAAAGAATGCCACAAAGCACGGTCCTGAGCCACCTGCATCCATCGACCTCCTGCATATCTCACCAGGTCGTCACTCCATTTAGTGGGGGGACGCCCTACACTTCGCCTGCCGGTACGAGGCTGCCACTCGAGAACCTTGCCACCCCATCGGCCGTCGGTTCTTCGAGCTATATGGCCGGCCCATTGCCACTTCAGCTTACTAATCCGTTGGGCTATGTCGGTCACTCTGGTTCTACTGCGGATATCCTCATTTCTGAGTTTATCACGCAGAGAAACTCCGAGCATAGCCCTCTCCATAGCTCGCTGAGCGACCTTGAGCTTCCTCATCCGGCCAGCAGTGAAGGACCACGTCTCAGCTCCGTATGTCATCACTGGCAACACGCACTGGGTGTACAGTCTCGTTTTCAAGTTTTGGGGTATACCTGACGAGAAGATGTGCCGTAATTTCCCGAACGCTGCCCAACCGAGTTGAATCCGTCGATTGACCTCTCGGTCGAAGTTGTACTTACCTAGTCGGACTATTTGTCCCAGGTAAACATACTCGTCAACAACTTCGAGCTTAGTGTTCCCAACAACTACCGGCATAGGTGTGACATGGACATTAAACATGATCTTTGTTTTGTCCATGTTCATCTTAAGACCTATCCGTTGGGAAACACTATTGAGGTCATTGAGCATAGTGCTTAGGTCCTCCAGCGATTCTGCCATAAGGACTATATCGTCGGCAAATCGAAGGTGAGTGATGTACTCGCCATTGATGTTGATACCGTATCCTTTCCAGTCCAGAAGCTTGAAAACATCTTCCAATGCAGCGGTAAAGAGTTTCGGGGATATGACGTCACCCTGTCTTACACCTCTCTGCAATTGGATAGGTTTCGTACTCTGGTTCTGTACTCGGATAGCCATCGTAGCCCTACTGTACAAGCACTTCAACACTTCGATATACCGACAGTCAACTTGGCATCGCTGAAGGGACTGCAGCACCGCCCAAATTTCGACGGAATCAAAGGCTTTCTCATAGTCCACATACGCCAGACGTAGTGGCAAATTGTACTCCTCGGACTTCTGTACAATTTGCCGAAGGGTATGTATGTGGTCTATGGTGCTAAAGCCTTTTCGGAAACCGGCTTGTTCGGGTGGCTGGAAGTCGTCAAGTCTGCGCGCGAGACGATTCGTAATGACTCTCGAAAACAGCACCTAGACGCCGCTCAGAATGGAAATCGGTCTGCAGTTCTTCAAGAGAGCGTTGTCGCCTTTCTTGAAGAACAAGACCACCGCACTTCTGCTCCACGCCTCCGGTGTAATGCCACCATGGAGGACGGAATTAAAGAGCTTCTGAAGGACTTCAAGTACCGGTTTTCCACCCGCTTTCAGAAGCTCCGCTGTAATTCCATCCTCGCCTGGGGCCTTGCCATTTTTAAGGTGCTGGAGAGCCATTCTAATCTCGCTCAGACTGACGTCCGGGATATCATCGGAATAATGTCGGATAAGACTCGCTCTTGGATCGTTACTCACACTTGCGTGCGGCTCCAACGATGACGTGTACAGCTGCCCATAGAACCTCTCAATCTCACTCAAAATCTCAGGTGCCCCGGAAACGATGCTGCCACATTCGGTCTTCAGCTTTGACAGTTGGCTCTTTCTGGCAGACAGATCTCTGGCAAAGACTTTGGAGCCTTGGTTCCACTCGATCGCTTCTTCAATACGAGCTGTATTGAAGTTGCGCAAGTCCCGCCGCATGCATTTGGAGATCTGTCTGTTCAGTTGCCTGTATGCAGTCAAATCTGTTGAAGAATGTAGCTTCATCTCCTGTCTAACAGCCATGAGATTAAGAGTGTGATCGGAGAGTTTTTGTGTTCTTCTGCGGCGGGTCTTACAGAACTTAGCTCCGACCGCATGGACAGTTTCCACGAGCTTGTCATTCAAATCGTCCACTTCATTGCAGTCTTCTAGGCACTGAAAACGATTTTGTAACTCGAGCTGAAAGGTTTCGGGACTTTGGATTAGAGCACGAGGGGGACTGAGCGTTGACTTCATTAGACGAGACTTCTCCAACTTAACGTTTAGGTTCAGTGTGCCTCTAACCATTCGGTGATCGCTGCCGGTTTTCACCCTCGCGATCACTGAGACATCACTGAACAGTTGTCGTCTGGTCGTCATAATGAAGTCATTTTTTGTCGAACCGTCGGGGCTCGACCAGGTCCACTTCCTGTGGGGCCGCTTCTGGAAGAAAGAGTTCATCATAAAGAGTCCCTCTTTCTCCATGAAGTCAGCCAGCTGCTGGCCCCTTGGGTTCCGTTGCCCTATTCCAAATTTCCCCAACTTCAGCTCACCGTTCTCTCTTGTGCCTAGTTTTGCATTGAAGTCTCCCATTAACATCGTATATTGGGTTTTGGAGGAATGCATGGCTCTAGAGATATCCTCATACATTTCCTCCACCTCCTGATCGGGGTGTGCCGAGGTTGGTGCGTAAACCTGTATGACCTTCAGCGAATACCGTTTGGTGATTCTGAGTATAAGGTACGCAACCCTCGTCGACACACTCTTAATCTTTACAACGTTGTTAACGAGAGACTTGTGGACGATAAATCCGACACCTCCTTGGGACAGATGGTCGCCCTCCCGGTAATAGAGCAAGTTGCCGGATTCGAGGATTACCGTGTCCTCCCCCTCTCTTCGCACTTCGGATAATCCTATAATATGCCAGCGTAACTTGTCTATCTCTTCTTCCAGCTCCACAATCTTCTCGTCAGTCCTCAGGGTGCGTGCGTTGTATGTTGCCAGGTCGAGTCGTCGTAGGTGGCAACCGAACCTCCACCGGAGATTCTTAGCACCCCCTGCCCCGCCGTTACCATGGTCGCCACCGTAGCCAGGAATAGCGGGGCCGCCGGGTACTGGGGGGCCGTCTATTCGTAACTTTCATCATTGCCATAGTTGCCACGCTTGGCGAGCGGGTTGGCAACCGCAGTTTTTTTTTATTGTATTTTTGCCGTTACCAGGAAGATGCTGCTGCCCATCTCCTGTCTGTTTCCCTTTGTCGCCTTTTACGACACCCACGGGAAGATATGGGGTAGTGGATATTCTTAACCGCCACTACACGGCGTAATAGAGGATAGATGTAGATATCTATGGGCCGCTGCAACCACTTACCATCAGGTGGACTGTGTGCTCGTTTGTCACCCTTATCCTACAAAAAAAAAACACTTCAAAGAAAGAAGGCCACAGATGCACTGTCACTCCTGAAGATTAAGATAAAATGCCTTAAGCGTCTCCCACACAGAAGCGGCTTGCGGTGGCGGCCGCGGTGGCGATCAGTTGTATTCGCTTGAAATGTAAGAGAGTCTGCAAACCCGTGCGGCCATGTCGCGATCTGCAAGCGGCTGGACGCGGCCGCATGCTCCGCCCCTTCCGCCAACGCATGTGTGTTAAGCGTCTCCCACACACAAGCGGCTTGCGGTGGCGGCTAACCGCGAGCCGCGGCTCTAGCCGTTGCAACAACACACCACCGCGGTCGCAGCGGCGGCCTGAAGCGTCATTCGCTGAGGTGTCTTTGCTACGATTGGACGTCAGTAACATGACTAACCGTGACAAAGTTTTATTATATTCAGCAATATCAATATCATATATTTTATTTTTAATCCTAATGCTTTTGTAATCACGATGCGAATTATAATAAAGTACTGGGTAATTTTGCACTGTTTCTATTAAAATCTCTCAATTTAGCACCATTCACGCGGTACACGCGGCCTGTTGTAAAAATTTGCGACTGACCGCGCTGCGGCCACTAGCTATCGATACAGGCCGCACGTTCGGAGACGGGGCACGAGGGGACGGGGCATGCGCCGCGTGTACGTTACCGCGTGAAAACTGGTGCTAAATTCAGAGATTGTAATAGAAACAGCAAAATTATTCAGTACTTTATGATAATTCGCATGGTGATCACAAAAGCATTAGGATTAAAAACAAAATATATGATAATATTGCTAAATATAATAAGACTTCATCACGGTTAGCCATGTTTTCTGACGTCTAATCGTAGCACAGATACCACACCACATTGAATGACGCTTTAGGCCGCCGTTGCGACCGCGGTGGTGTGTTATTGCAGCGGCTGGAGCCTAGACTCGCGGTTATCCGCCACGGCAAGCTGCTTGTGTGTGAGAGACGCTTTACTGTCTGTAATTATATCCTACCAACCGGAACGCAATAGCGCATTGCTGTTTGACGTCAAACATTGGTAGGAGGGTGATAACAACCCCGACATACTCGTAGGTAAAAAAACATATCACCCACCTACCAAATTTCTGAATCAACAGCGCAAGGGTAATTATAGTGCTACAAATAGTGGCCCTATCTCGATTCAACCTACCTGTGCCTTTATAGGCAACAACAGCATTGGAGATTAAATACCGGCATATTCAGAGACAATCTTGAGTTTAAGCTCAAACTTTATAATGTCAAAATGTATGTAGCATAGCACGGACGAGACTCACATTTTGAAATTATGAAATTTGTGTTCAAACTCGAGACTGTATCTGAATAACCGGTCTCGGACGAGAACTAGACCCAAAAACAAACTATTAGAGTTTTACTCAAACGTTGAACGGCATCTGAAACCAGCGGGGTTAGTCAAGAAATTTAATTCTCATAATTTTTTGTTAGCGTTTTTGATTATAGAAAGTCAATTTGGTTAACCCCGCTGGGCCGCGAAACTGTTAAAATTTCAGTTTTTTTTTCTATCCCCCTAAAGTTCCTAAGTTAACGCATAACATAAAAACCGGGCTGTGCGATTACAGTGAGGAGTGAGTGCGATACGGTGAGGCGGGGTGAGTGATGTGGCAGTGGTGTCGGTTCGTGGTACGTGTGTACCTGCGCGCTCCGCGTGAGGATGGAGGTGGAGTGGCGGCGGCGCGTGAGGGCCGCGTCCGCCGCGCCCGCGCCCGCCAGCGCCATCTGCAGCACAGCGCCTCGCTGTAGTGCGCGCACGCCCGCACGACGCACGACCGCACTAGTGCACTAGCGCCCCACTACTATGTCGCCTCCCCATCGCGGACCACCCAACGACGCTATTGAGCACTGTTGCCGATTACGACACAACAATAACCGGAACCCGTGTAATAAATATCTGATTTCGGTTGAGTGAGACAGAGATAGACGCAATACCCGATTTTTTCCGTCAATTAAAATAGTAAATATATAAAAAAAACAATAACAATTACATTTTCAGTTATTAATAGAATCAGACGTTACTTTGCGGAAATTAATTATATTAAAGTTGTTAAAAATTAATTTCCTAAGATCCGCGTCACAAAATAAAATAGACATCATTTTACCTAGTTTGAAGAGCAACTTTTTCGGTTATTGGTATTAAATTTTTTAAACAATTTTGTGCTATAGGATTTAAAGTAATAATCTTAAGGATACTCTATACATTTACCTTACGTATGTTAAAGGGGTTAAAGATATAGAAGGTTTATTTTTAAACTTTGTTTAAAAATAACGTCTAGCACATTTTATAACATAAGCATATGGGACGAAATATGGTCGAAATTCCCCAATTTAGAAGTAAAATTTTAAGGAATAAAATCGGGTATTGAAGAACAAAAAAAATATGGGTAAATCGGCAACACTGCTAGTGAGAGTCCACTACTCGGGGCAGTTTGCTTGACGCTTTAACATATTACAAAACACCGCTTCGATTGCAAAGCGTGCCTTGCCTATTATAAAAGTCCGTTGGCGAATATAAATATTGACATACTTTGTACAGTACGATTATACGGTATTAATAATTTTGTGCATACGGACCCAAACAGGAAATTACAAATCTCACAGGCGCGCAAATAATGAAAATAAGAACAGAAAGGTAAATAAACATGCAAACATCCAACAAAACTTAAAAGTTCATTAATTGTATTTTCTTTTTTATAAAAAAAGTAATTTGTTTAAATATATAAAACATGCTATAGACTTCCTGTGGTAGCATGATTCACAACTTCATGTTTGAGTTAATTAAGTTAAATCAGTTAATGGCATTGAAATTGATTAATCAACTGATTAAGGTAAGTCTATATTTTGCCAAGGTGCGAAACCATGCAGTGCAACTCTATCCACGTGTTAAATAAATGTGCAATTTTAATATCATGCAAACTACTGGTTATAATGTAAACTATACAAGACGGATATACTGTAAACTCTCAATGTAATGAATATATACATTATACAAAAACTTTCAGTGTATATAAATAGAAAAGCGCTATATTCATACTTTCAAACTAGTTCTCTAAAGGTGTAAGAACACTATAAGAGCCGAATGCGTCGAACGAACGAACGAACGAAATCATATGAAACCGCGGGCAGGTGGACCGTGTCAAATCGTCTGGATCTAGAAGAACCCCAGAAATTCTAGACGAATTGGGATGACGTCATTAGATGCGGCGCAAGTGATGCGATCGAATCGAATCGACCGATCCGCTCGCATTCTGACAGTTGCGTGAGATAGAGTAAGTTGCGAGTATTAATTCTTAGTTTTTTTTAAATGAGTGATTCTAATTTAATTTAATTAGTAATTTCTTCATATTCCTTTAATAAAGCATTGACAATAAAAACATGTCAAGAGCCATTACAATTCACATGTAATTGCAGTGCGACAGATGTAAAGGAAATAGGAACGATTTTTATCGAGCGGTCAATCCTCTAAGTGACGATATGTGTGCGAGGCCTCCTTAACTTCGATTCGTTCCATGCGTTCGGCTCGGATAAGTGTGCATTCACCTTTATACCACTATCTCAAACACAGCACAGGCGGAGCTTTTTTTAGTTTAAATCATTTGCTCATGTTTTGCCTTTATGTAATAATAAAAAATATTGCTTTATATACTATGTGCTAAGTGTAAGCATGTGTTTTTATAAGAAATGCTTAGAGTTCACTGCCATTTATTTCAATTTGTCTATGCTTGTAGCTTTTAATGAAAACTAACAAAATGTTACTAGGTAATATTCACTAATATCAAAACAGAAAACTAATTCATAATACGATTATTTTGTATAATTTATATACTTCCTCCGCGTTCACTTCCTTACCCTCTGCTTATTAGGTCTTTTGACCTTATTGAAGTATAGTTCGGTCATTTTAAGAAAACCATCGGTGAGTTGGTCCAAATCCTGTCGTGTCGGTGTAGGATAGATGTCACAATGCGTTTTTTCGTCTTCCAATATTTGTTTGGTTGCTGGATTAGTCAGCGGCAAAAGCAGAGTCCTAAAACGCCAGTATTTGAGAGCCTGAAAAGATAGTTTTATAAATAAAAAAATTATATTCGATAATTTAATGTTTGTTCTAAGTTAATCAAAGAAGAAAATTATGTTAATGCCAAAATGTCTATCTATAGAAGTGAAAAAGATGGATTATTTTCCAATATACTCTGGATTTCCAATTCAGAATTCTATAACCGTTTCGGACGATGAATCGGCCGATTAACCAAAATATTCGATTCACTAGTTAAATAAGAAATTAAAAACCTTATTTTAAAAGTGACTTAAATTTACGCGGATTTACGTAATGAGTAAAATTAATTTTAAGGATATGATCGCGTTTCATTTTTACTTTAACACCGACGTTCTGGAAAGTCTGAAGACTGTGAACGTGGTCAGGATTGTCACCACAATTATCAGGTTTGATAAACCACAAATCATCGAAAAGGAACACCGATTCCTAACAAGGACGATTCATGAGACTCTTGCAATTAAAAAAAACTATCTGCTACTGTGCTGTGCTACCCCATGTAGTGGCGGGTAAGAATACTCACTACTCCATATCTTCCCGTGGGTGTCGTAAGAGGCGACAGAGGGAAACTGAGGCAGAAGATGGGCAGCAGCATCTTTCTGATAACAGCAAAAAGCAATAAAAACTGCGGTTGCCAACCCGCTCGCCAAGCATGGCAACTATGGTAATATACGCCCCATGAGCAATGACATTAGTAAACGACTCCCAGTCCCCGGCGGCCCTGCTATTCCTGGCTACGGTGGCGACCATGGTAACGGCGGGGCGGTGGTTGCTAAGAATCTCCGGTGGAATTTTGGTTGCCACCTACGACGACTCGACCTGGCAGCTTATAACGCACCCACCCTGAGGACTGACGAGAAGATCCTGGAGCTGGAAGAAGAGATAGGCAAGCTGCACTGGAATATTATAGGATTATCCGAAGTCCGAAGATAGATGGAGGACACGGTAATCCTCGAATCCGGCAACTTGTTCTATCTCCGGGAGGGCGACTATCTGTCCCAAGGAGGTGTCGGATTTATCGTACACAAGTCTCTCGTTAACAACGTTGTAAAGATTGGGAGTGTGTCGACGAGGGTTGCGTACCTTATACTCAGAATCACCAAACGGTATTCGCTGAAGGTCATACAGGTTTACTCACCAACCTCGGCACATCCCGATGAGGAGGTGGAGGAAATGTATGAGGATATCTCTAGAGCCTTGCATTCCTCCAAAACCCACTATAGAGTGTTAATGGGAGACTTCAACGTAAAACTAGGCACAAGAGAGAACGGTGAGCTGAAAGTAGGGAAATTCGGAATAGGGCAACGGAACCCAAGGGGCCAGCAGAAAGAGGGACTCTTTATGACGAACTCTTTGTTCTAGAATCGGCCCCACAGGAAGTGGACCTGGTCGACCCCCGACTGTTCGACAAAAAATGAGATTGACTTCATTATAACGATCAGACGACAACTGTTCAGTGATGTCTCAGTAATCGCGTGGGTGAAAACTGGCAGCGATCACCGAATGGTTAGAGGCACACTGAACCCAAACGTTAAGTTGGAGAGGTCACGTCCGATTGATTGATTCCGATGATATCCCGGACGTCAGTCTGAGCGAGATTAGAATGGCTCTCCAGCACCTTAAAAAAGGCAAGTCCCCGGACGAGGATGGAATTACAGCGAAGCTTCTGAAAGCGGGTGGAAAACCGGTACTTGAAGCCCTTCAGAAGCTCTTTAATTCCGTCCTTCATGGTGGCACTACTCCGGAAGCATGGAGCAGAAGTGCGGTGGTCTTGCTCTTCAAGAAAGTCAACAACGCTCTCTTGAAGAACTACAGACCGATATCTCTTCTGAGCCGCGTTTACATTCTGTTTTCAAGTCATTGCGAATCGTCTCGCACGCAGACTCGACGCCTTTCAGCCTCCCGAACAAGCAGGTTTCCGTAAAGGCTCTAGCACCATAGACCACATACATGTACACAAATGTACGTGAATTGTACAGAAGACCGAAGAGTACAATCCGCCACTTTGTCTTGCGTATGTGGACTTTGAGAAAGCCGTCGAAAATTGGGCGGTGTTAAAGTCCCTTCAGCAGTGCCAAGTGGACTGTCGGTACATCGAAGTGCTGAAGTGTTTGTGCAGTAGGGCTACGATGGCTATCCAAGTATAGAACCAGAATACGAAACCCGAAACGATCCCCGAAACTCTTCGCCGATGCATTGGAAGACGTTTTCAAGCTACTGAACTGGAAAGGATACGGTATTAACATCAATGGCGAGTACATCGCTCACCTTCAATTTGCCGACTATATAGTCATTATGGCAGAATCGCTGGAGGACCTACGCACTATGCTCAATGACCTCAATAGTGTCTCCCAACGGATAGGTCTTAAGATGAACGTGGACAAAACAAAAATTATGTTTAATGGCATGTCACCTCTACGCCGGTAGTAGCACTAAGCTCGAAGTTGTTGACGAATATGTTTACCTGGGACAAATACTCCGATTAGGTAAGTCTAATATCTACCGAGAGATCAATCGACGGATTCAACTCGGCTGGCCAGCGTTCGGGAGATTACGAAACATCTTCTTGTCAGACGTACCTCAAAACCTCAAAACTAAATTGTACAACCAGTGCGTGTTGCCAGTGATTACCTATGGATCTGAGACGTGGTCCTTCACTGCTGGCCATATGAGGAAGCTCAAAGTTGCTCAGCGAGCTATGGAGAGGGCTATGCTCGGAGTTTCTCTGCGTGATAAACTTAAAAATAAGGATATCCACAGTAGAACCAGAGTAACCGACATACTAGCTCAAAGAAGTAGTATGCTGAAGTGGCAATGGGCCGGCTCTAAACAGCTCGAAGAACCGATAACTGATGGGGAAGAAAGGTTATTGAGTGGCAGCCTCGTACCGACAGGCGAAGTGTAAGACATGCAGGAAGTCAATGGATGCAGGTGGCTCGGGAACATGCTTTGTGGCATTCCTTGGGGGTGGCCTAAGTTCAGCAGTGGACTTGTGAAGGGCTGTAATGATGATAATGATGATGATGAATCATAAATTATATCAGGACATCGAACATTTCAGTCTCCCTGTGACCAGTTATGATAGGCTGCAATTGTAATGGAATAGTAAAAATTAATTAAAGGAATTCTTGTGCAGGACAAAACATGTTCATTTACCTCTAAGTAATTTTCAAAAAACAAAACATGATCCATAAATTACCTCAACAAGTGCGAAGTCTGTGTCACCTCTGGTACAAATATAATGATCCATGTAATTCCAGCTGTAGTTTTCGAGCTTCTCAGTGGTGAAAGACACCCAAGATACCTCGTATGTGTCGTGATTGGGCGCGTGGAAGCGGTAGCGATAGTGAATGTTGAAAGGGGGATACGGATGCCTAAAAAAAGAATACGAATTTACAGAAAAATGGATTCACCAAATGTTATGGTATTTGCTCATAATCTAAAAAAGGCTAAAGTTTCTTAATATGTGCTATAATAAACTTCAGTAGTTTGACATCTTACTCTAGACTAGGGGTACGCGACGTTGGAGCTTTGAGTACAGTTTAACACTAGAGTACACGCGCGGCCTACTATAGTAGACCAGGGTAACTCTTTTTGCAATAACTTTTTAGTTTAGAGAGCTAGAAGCTAGTGATTCCAGGTAAGCCTCGTCTGGTATATTTGTCACAACCTCAGTACCCTGCGCGAATCCAGCGCGTACATATGCACAAGCAATTTGGCGCCAAAAGCGTGGGCCTACTAAAGTAGTCCGCGCGTGTATTGGTGTACCAAATTCAGGTATGTAACTTTTGGTGTATTATCGATTTATAACGCTATTATAATATTCTTTACTTATTAATAATGTATTTATGTGTATGCATATTAAATTATTATTATTTATATATTGGCTACAATTTGTAAAATGTATATTTTTTCTTATTTTATTATTTTTACAGATTTATATATTGGATTACATCATGAATGATTTACAAGTGGAAAAGTGGCTCCATGAGCTCGATACTGAAGATGAAAAAGTGATTGAGAGTGAAGATGATGAAGTTCAGCTAGAACCAGACTTGCAGTCCCTAGTAGTCAACTTTCTGTCTACAATGCATTATTACTTTTTATAATCGTTCTCAATCTACTCTCTCTCTCGTAGTATATCTCTACTCATAATGTCTACACCACATTTGTTGTAGACATTCTAGACAAAATGTGCAAGCAGTTGGTGTTCAGCGTAATTGCCGTCGATGACCGCTAGTCATAATTTTTGATTTGATAAACATTGTTGGTATCAACGCTTTGGTAATCAACCAAATGAACACCCCTGCCGAAGAAAATGTCAGGCGTAACTTTTTGCACGAATTGTTCTTAATTTTGATAAAACCGCTTTTGATTCGCCGTGCATCAATTGAAACACTTCCACTACAATTTAAATTCAGGATAGAAGCACTTTTGGGCAGCACAGTTCAAGAACCACAAGAGTCTCAACATGATTTGACTTCAAAGATAGAACGAGTTGGTTGATGTGCACTCTGCTCGAGAGCCCGAAATCGGTCGACAAAAAAGTGGTGCAAGACTTGCAATAAATGGATTTGTCCCGATCACCAAGCAGTGGTGTGTCCTGAATGCTACGAAAGCAAATAAAATAGTAATAAAGTTTAGTTTTAAGTTAAAACAAAATTACTTTAATCTCAGAAGTGCCAGTTTTTTATTTTTTCTGATATAGTTACTAAATTGTTGATTCTTATCTAAAAAGTAAGGTTATAAAACTAAGTAAAATGAAAACCTTTTCCATTTCTATTTGTTGTTTTAATAAGATAATTAGGAATATACAAGTTATTGACATTTTAATATGGCCTACCATAGTAGGCCACGCGTGTACTCAAATAAAAAAAAGGGGCGCCTGTACTGTAGTGTTAAAGACCTTACAGTTGTAAAACGCCTTTGCTGTCAGGCGATGTCGCCGCGCGGTATTAACGCGGCCAGTGTATGCTAGCATACATGCTGGCCGCGGTCTGCTTGTCACAAAAATTGAAATAAAATAATTTAGGATATTATAATACTCATTATCATTAATTAACATTATGTACATACTTATAAGTCAAAAACATTTATTGAACAAAATCATTTTTATTACTACAAGAAAAACCATATTTACAGGTTTTTTTAAATATTATTTCTATTATAATAGTGATGGTATGACAAATGAGCTAACAGTCCACTTGCAATCAACTTCAGACATAGAAGACCACACATGTCTTGTCCCCTTGACCCCTGAGAACTAAGATGTAATTCATGATGTCTTCCAATCTGTAATTATAATGGCTCTCTCATTCTTTAAACCGTATCAAATCAGTAGTTAAACGTGCTCTCGTACTTGAAAGAACGAATCTAAACGGCAAATAAAACCTTTCTGGAAAATAAATGCAATGCAACAATACTGAGAAGCGTTACCTGGGCCGATATCTCGTAACGGTGATAGTGGATCCGACGAGAGTGAGCTTGTGGAATATCCTGCCGATGGAGAGCAGGTAGCGTTTTGTTGGCGCCGAGTTGGCCAGCTTTCCGCACTGAGGAGCCACTTTAGATGGCGGTGGCGCTGGTGTCGATGGACAGTGAGCTTCTAAAACTTCGTTCTCGTTTAGGCCTACTATCAGCTGGAAGCCCTAACATAAAAACAATAGGTTTGTGACACGATCAATCACAAAACCATGTTAAAGCAAAAGCAATCTACTTTTTTGTTTATAGGTTTGTGATACAATAAATTAATGTTTAACTTCTCTATCGTAATGAATCAACCCTGGTATGATAAATTTTTTCTTATAGAATAAGGGTAACAATAAGCGAGCACAGCCCACGTGAAGGTAAGTGGATGCTGTGGCCCATAGACATCTCCATCTATCCTCGAATAAGAATCAAAATGCAGATGCGTTGTCACCCCTGAGGACTAAGACGGAATGTCTCATATCCAGTAAAAAGGGTTGTCAGTTCTCTGCACTCACCATACGAAACACAGTACCATTGAGCTGATAATTTACGTTGGTATTCTGTGAGAGCGTGGTCCTTCCCCGGTCGAGCTGACCTATTCGTACCACAATCATTATATAGCTTCCTTATATAGCCTCTTACGACACTTCTAGACTAAATGGGGTGATAAGATGGATTGTAATTTGTCATAATAAATAAATAAATTGTGCGTGTAATTGCGTACACACGAACGAAGTGAAACTTCTTTACGACATATCATTCTTCATTTATTTTATATTTTACATAGTAGTAGGTTAAATAATAGTAGGTATACTTATGCAGTCCCGACGGTGAAACTTTTCAAAAAACGTGACATTCGATTTTTAATACAGTACTAAATTTCTCTACTACGCCGATAAATAAATTTCCTTCCAATGAGGGTTAATAATTTTCTGCTCACCAGATGTCGCTAGTTGACACTGAGGTAAAGTTTTTTGTTACACAATGTAATTTCATTGAGAATTTGTTTTTTACTAAAAGTTGATCAGTTTCTAGAGTATAATATTAATACACAAAACAATGCGTCAGTGGTTTGCTCTTTAATTTTTTGCACATTTTTAACTTTTTTCATTTTTCTACTTTTATGAATATCTGTGGTTTGGTTTATTTATTTTTAAGGTTATTAATATAAAATATAGCTAATAGTACAGAAAGAAACAATAACTTTTACATTTTCCGAACAAATTAACTTCCCCGCTATGAAATCTGTCAAATATTATATCTCACTTTCTAGTGGCGCCGCCCTGGTGGCAGAAAAAGTCGTGGATGCCCTCATTATATCAGATACGGTAAACATTTTCTCACCAATGTATCGTGTTTCTACATACATGTGTAAAATTATAATACCGCGTAGTGGCGATGAAAGAACATCCACTATAGACTAGGAGATGGTGACAGAAAATATTCTCCCATTTTCTCTTGCATGCCTTTTTAAGAATTGATAACTAACCCTAAAATATGAAAGATAGAGGGGTTACGAGCCCATGCGCGCTTGCACGTCATAAAGAAAGTGGCTTCTCTTTGTGTAAAGAATTTTAGTATTTTTCCGTGACATTATATTGCATGCCTTTGTAATATAACGTAGTTGGAACAAATTTAAGCTATAATAATTAATGGCATGCAATTCGCAACGGCCGACGGGGTTCAAAGGGTTACGTAGAAATGAAAAAAAAAAACATTTCCGTGTTTACAAATTGCATGCCGTTGTAAAAAATAGTTTTTTTTTTATCTCAAAAATACTCTACGAAAATTGGCATGCACCCCTCGTATGACCAAGGGTGGAAAATATTAGGAAATGTTGTGAAAATTCAATACAACATCTCCGTGATTTCAAACTGCATAACATTTGAACAATACTTAATTTTTATAATTTATTGACGTTAGCAAATTTGGCATGCACAACAGGAAGTTGTAAAGTAGTGGCATGCATGACGAAAATTGCAAAAAACGCTGTTATAATTTCCGTGACTTTATTTTGTATGCCATTCAATATTTCATCAAAAAACATTATTTTAAGCTGAAAAAAATGGCATGCATATTACACAAGGCTGACATAAAAAATTGTGGAAACATAAAAATAAAAAAGGTTTTTTACGAAAATAAAAATAAGGAACATTACCCTGTTTTTTTTTGCATGCCTTTTTGTACATTGTCTGTAAATATTATTCTAAACTTCAATAACAAATGGCATGCATGTTTATTGATAAAAAACGCTGCCAATACATTGGTACGTGGCTTTCTTCAAACTATGTTATTGTTTCTATTATTAAGTACTCGGGTTTACTTTATTAAATAACTGAAAAGTTTTATATAGTATATTGTTAGTTCCAACAAAAAGTCACGTAAAATAAAAAATTGTTTATTTGGTGACTTTGAAATGCTTGTAATTTTTTATTTAAGCATACATTTCTCTCCTTTAATTTACATTTTAATTGTTTAAAAGGTTTTGCTTCAGTTATAGTGCTACCACGAAAAACGATTTTTTTCAGTTTTTGATTTTTTTTCTCAGGATATACTTTGTGAAATGACTTGAAATTTATACGAAATATAGTTCTTGTATATCTCTTATATATCTCTCTATCATTATGATTTTTTTCAGAGCCATTCGATCTTTATTAGCCGAAATATAATTCGGAATTACAAATTATTACAATTGCGAAATTTTCATTTTCAATTTTTTATTACATTTTTTTTTCTGTTGAACTATAAATGTAAATACGCATACTATTTTCGTCATAAACTTAAAATAATATTTTTTTATAAAATACAAAATTGCATGTAAATTAAAAACACGGAAATGTTTCACATATTTTATGAAACTTTCATTATTATTTAAAATACGATCGTGTTATTTAATACGCATGCCATTTTCGGTATATACTTAAAATAATATGTTTTTATGAAATACAAAACGACATGCAAATAAAAAACGTGGAAATGTTTATTAAATTTTTTGTAACTTTTGTTATTATTTATAATATAATGATCATGTGCAACATGCATGCCATTTGTATTTCAGAATTATTTGGTCATAAAATTAATATTTATCTTTATTAGAAGTAGTTTGAAATCACGGAAAAGTTGTATTGAATTTTCACAACATTTTCCTAACATTTTCCACCCTTGGTCATGGTCACAAGGGGTGCATGCCAATTTTCGTAGAGTATTTTTGAGATAAAAAAAATAATTTTTTTACAACGGCATGCAATTTGTAAACACTGAAATGTTCTACTTTTTTTTTTCATTTCTACGTAATCCGTTGAGCCCCGTCGGCCGTTGCGAATTGCATGCCATCAATTATTATAGCTTAAATTTGTTCCAACTACGTTATATAACAAAGGCATGCAATATATTGTCACGGAAAAATACTAAAATTCTTTACACAAAGAGAAGCCACTTTCTTTATGACGTGCAAGCGCGCATGGGCTCGTAACCCCTCTATCTTTCATATTTTAGGGTTAGTTATGAATTCTTAAAAAGGCATGCAGGAGAAAATGGGAGAATATTTTCTGTCACCATCTCCTAGTCTACTACCCCATATCGACCTGTGGGTGTAGTAAGAAGCGACAGAGGCAAATTAAACAGATAGGTTCTAATACTTTAATGTCGGTACGGCTATCACGTTTACGCCAAACGTAAATTATGCAGAACGGTGAGAGGGAGTAGCGTCAAAGCTGCAAGACGTTTGGTATAACGAACAATAAGTTGTCTCCTAAACGTGGCGTTTATTAAAACTCTTTCCTACAATGGGTAATAGTTCCAGCTAGATTTTTTTAAGTTGATGAAAATGAAAAATAGTAAATTGTATTATCCATAAAAATAAGACAAAAAAAACAGATTAAGAGTACCCTCAACCGACGAGCATGTATGCGTAGGTATATGGATGTAAAGGAGGCGAGAGAGGTGTGTCAGACTCGTGCTAAATGGAGATCCGTAGTCTCTGCCTACCCTTCTGCGTGACAGGCGAGTGTTTTTGTTTGATGTTTATGTTTATCCGTAAGTTTAATGTTATAAATTTCCATTCCATATTTCTTTTAACATCAACAATATACTCGTAACAACAGGTTCAATTTTCTGTTATATGCTACTAGTAAATAAAAACGTAATAATCAAAATGAGGCGATAAACACATTACTAACTTGTGCCAATCTTTGGGAAACCAACTCCTTAAACACCTCCACGGTGGTGAGTGGTTTCTTATAAATAGCTCGATTTTGAGCAAAGTCAGCATTGACGTCGTCGGGTAGCAGGTTGTAGTCGGACACGAGGTAGTCGTTCTGCAACGACCGCTTGTCGGGGAAGTAGTCAGTGGTGATAGGAAGGCACGCCGGGATCGTTAGTGACTTCCAGTCCACGCCTGTTTGCATTCAAAAATAATTTTGTATTACTATATTATATACTATATACATATACTATATATTATTTATATAATGGGTTATAGAAGCTAATGGACAATTTAGAAGAACGCTAAAAAGGGGTTGATCTATATTTATTATGTGCTCATTGTCCTAACCAATATCACACTTATGGAGTTAGAAAAAAAAAAAAAGAAAAATTAAAGTATTTTGTTGCAGTTGTTTAGTCATGAATACGTATTCCAAGAAACTTTGAGGATGTAAATTGTATTAACAAATTTTACATTACTTTAGTATTTTGTTGCATCACTTCGCTTAACGGGACGAAGTTGCTATTCAAGAAAATTTCTTCACCATAGGTTGTTTGAAATATATTTGTAGGGCAGTCACACACTGGATGGAAGGACGACCTGATAAGATATGCGGACAACTCAAGTCTCTGCAGTTGTAAAAGTAATTAAAATTAATAATAATAATAATTTATTATTTCAAGCAAAAAATATATCTTAATTTCTACAAACACTTTGAGATACAGCCTAACAATAAATAAATACAATTCAGTGAACATCTGCGTCTGAACTAGATAACTTAATATCTGTGTTTCAGACAGCAGCGCTCTTCCCTTTAAGATTATACATTTCACTGTATACAACTCAGATCACTTACCAATAAGTAATTTAAAGTAGAGTGTAGGTAAGCCTCCTTATGTGTAATATGACAGTGTGTGTATGTGTGTAGGAGGTTGAGTATAAAATTTAACGAGGTACATTAGGTAATTGTTTTGTTTCGTTATAGTTCAGTTTATGAATATATTCAAATAGTTTCCTTTTGCACTCTCTAATATTTAGGCGTCGTATGTCTACAATTTTGCTGATTTTAGAATATAGATATGGACCCAAAAAGGGAAAATATTTATGTGCGAATTGGTGTTTTAATGTTGGTCTATTGGGGAAAGTTATATCTCTGCGACGATTGGAAATGGCAATTGTATCAGAGCTTGAGTGTTGTTTCATAATAGTGAGCAGGATGAACAGGTGGCGAACTGAGAGTACTTCACAAGATTGATACAGGAGGTACGTAGGAAACAAATATTGGTTTAACTAAAAAGCAAGTGGCCCAAACATTGCATGTTTCCAATTCTGTAATTTTTCATAATGTACAAAACTTCCAACAGATTGAGGGAGTATCAGACGCAAAGAGCAAAGTCGAATAGAGTAAAAACCACGAGGAACAACATATTTATTGTAAGCAGGCTGCTAATATATTCTGGGAAATTCGACAAGTGACATTTAGCACCAAAACCATAGGAAGAATTTATGCAACTGAATTATGAGTATCACTGTCAAGTTCTCTTAGCTCAATCAGTACCACGGTCCAACTAAGAGTACACTCGCTTACACTAAACTGTGATGACAATGGTTAAAGATCAAGTACAGTAAGTTACAGACAGTTCACGGAAGATTGTTGGTTCTATATTAAGCCAGATGATGAAAGGTTCAAATTACAGAGACGTAGAAAATAAAGACAAGCTCAACAGTATTATAGCGAGGGGTTATAGTACGGCCGCTGAGTTATTACCGATTTGACAGATTATTCTTAAATTAATCGATATAACCTTGCACGAGCGACACATTTGCCGAATGATTTAGAATACCTCTTTAATATAAAACTTTATGTCAAAATGTCAGAATCAAGTAATTTTCCAATAAACTCTGTTTCAAAACTTAAAATAGTTTGTAAATAATATGAAAACATTTATTTTTTGTTCTTTGGCGCGCTTGTACAAAGTTACATCGTGCGTCTAGTTTTCATAGTGATGTGCTTGATAGTATTCGGTCCGAATTCATTGGAATAGATATGATATTTATTTTATTTGGGTATTTTTATTTTACTTATTCCTTCGAGCAACTAGACTATAATGCTACCATTTTTTTGCGCCTCCTAATTGCACTGTGTTGCCAAAGACAGAAATACTGTTTTCTATGATTTAAAAATAAATACAATTAAAATGATTATGTATAATTTTTAACATTCATAATATATAAAACAACATTTAATAAATATAATTTTCTCCCTCAATTAAGCAATGTTATAGGTGTATTTTTTTTAGTAATTGGCGATACTATTCTCGCAACACCCTTACCACCGCTATTTTAATCTGTTTAGTCGTCTTCCGTACTCTCGTGCGCACAGACTACGTTCTCTTGTGTAACCGTTGTTTTTTGACTCGGCTTTCTCCTGTTTATCGTTGCGCTTTATTGGACTAATTTTGTTTGTGTTTGGTAATTTTGTTGAAAATGCCGAAACGAGGAAAAACATTGAATAGTCAATGTCGTGAGCTTGTACTAAAGCTACAGGATTACTTTGAGCGTGAGTCACAAAATGGCGGCCCTTTGATTCCTGTCACTCAAGTGAAAGATCGGGTTTCACAAGCTCTTGGAATTGGTGCAAAAACACTATATAATATAAATAAAGAAAAATTTGGTGCTTCTGGAAGTGAAGATAATGTTTTACGCACTCCTAAGAAAAAACGAAGACAAAACCCCGTGACAGGTGTTGATGTTTTTGATACAGATGCAATAAGAAACCTCATATATGGTTATTATACTAGGAACGAGTTTCCAACTAGACGTTTGCTTTTGGTCTCTTTAAAAGAAGCTGGCTTGTTTAAAGGCGGTAAAACGGCGTTGTCAAAACTATTGCACGAAATTGGGTTTGAATATTAAAAAACGAATAAAAGGAAAATATTAATGGAAAGATTTGATTTAATAATTAAAAGGAGCGAGTTTTTAAGAGAAGCCAGAAAAATCGAGTCTTGGGACAACGTCGTTTTTGTTGACGAAACATGGTTAAATGCGAACCACACTGTGTCACGCTCTTGGACTGACGAAACAAAAGCATCAACCTCAAAGGTTTCAATTGGAAAAGGATCGCGACTGATAATTTGTCACGCCGGTTCTGCTGGAAGTGGTTTCTTTGAAAATGGACTGCTGGCTTTCGCGTCAAAAAGTACTTCCGATTACCACGAGGAGATGGATACAGACACTTTTAATTGGTTCGAAAATCAATTATTACCCAGCCTGCCAGAGCCTTCTATCATAATAATGGACAACGCTTCATATCACTCGAAACAAGTGAATAAAGCGCCTACTCAGGCCGACAAGAAAGCTGATCTCGTAGCATGGCTACACCAAAATGGAATTGAAACTACTGCCGAAATGCTAAAGTCTAACTTAGTAAAGTTGGTACGCGAAAATAAAACATCAAGAGTCCGTTATGAAGTAGATGAGATAGCTCTAGCACATGGACATCGGGTACTTCGAATTCCGCCTTATCACTGCCAGTACAATGCCATTGAGCTAATATGGGCACAAATCAAAGGTATTGTTTTTTATCGCATTAGTTATGAATATGAATAATTTGTACTATTATAACATCCAATATTCAGCATATAAGTAAAAAGATACATAACTAAGAAATAAATATCTCATGTCCCTTACATGTAGGTAATTGTGTAACATTTCGTTTATTTAATGTAATAAATTAACGTTATTTAATGTTTACATTACAGGTTACGCAGCTCGTAATAATACGACTCCGCCATTCAGTATGTAGTGTTATGCTACTCACGTATCATTTTACATTATTTTAAATTCATTTTTCCATTCTGTTTCGATTTTCTGCATTCACCTCAAAACTGGATATTTTACATCACCTTTATTTCCATAGGATCCTGTAACGATTTTAAACCATAAGAACACAATAACAAATCATTTCTACTTCGTATTTTCACATTATCAGCACTTTTAAATTGGTGTCAATGGAGTCTACCTTTTTTCGATCTTTTAGCTAGTTTTCCGTAACTCTACAATCTTGGACTTTGTGTGGGCAGTTGCGCTACCTTTTTTCCTATATCAATAATATCTCATTTTCCACTTAAATCTTACCGTTTTCTTATTATAAACCAAAAACAAAAATTTGACATATTTTGTCTTTCTTATTTATATCGTTTCCATGGTAATTATATTCAAATTTGCTACCGATCTATTATTCCTATTTCGATAATTCCACATAAATCCTCTTTTCTCTTGACCATTTACAAAAAATTTGCGTATAATTTAAATAATTTTTCTGTTCTCTCTAGAAAGGTATAAAAGCCGAACAATCGGTGAAGAAAGGCAGTCTCGCTTCAGTTCGCGAATTAGAAGTATCTCCTAAAGGCCTTATCCCGGGGCCGCACTGCCCCGGGATCCTGCAAGCCTCCATTTACACGTGAAGTCTTCGGCGAAGCCTTCTTCAAACTCGGGCCGCGCCACTCCGGGATCCTGCAAGCCTCCATTTACACGTGAAGTCTTCGGCGAAGCCTTCTTCAAACTCGGGCCGCGCCACTCCGGAATCCTACAAGCCTCCATCTACCTCGGAAGTCGCTTCGAGTCTACTACAAGCGCGGGGGCCACACTACTCCGGGCACTACTACTACTTACTCCAGGCGCCGAGTGCACCTACCGCCGGCGCTACCTTTGGGCGCTGCAACTGCTGGCTCTAAGCGTTGCGCGCCCCTTCTCCAGGCGCTACATGCGCCGGCTCCGGACGCTGCGTGTACTGGCTCCAGGCGCTGCGCGCCGTCGCTGCTAAGAAACCTACTTCTACAAGCGCAAACGGCGTGTGCTGGCTTCAGGCGCTGCGTGCCGTCGCTGCTAAGAAACCTACTTCTACAAACGCAACGTGTGTCGCTTCGACTTTTAGGCCCCACTTCAACGCTATATTCCCCTATTCTCTCACCTTTATTTTTTTTATAATCTAATTGTATTCTCACTTCATCCATCATCATCCTCACATCATTTTTTTTATAAAATTGTAAATACCTTTTATAAATTTAAATATATTGTTTTTCTGGCTCTACTTTTGTTGTTTTGTTGTACTTAGGTTAGGTTCTATTTTTTTATTTTTTTTTTATTGTCGCTTCACGACAAGTACTAATAAAATGATGGGTCTATTAAAA